CATCAATCTGTCCTTGGCTCAATCCCTTTTCATCCATCCATCCATTCCTTTATCCCCCACCATCCCTTCAGTCATATATCCAATTGTTCAAAAATCTACTTCCGACCCATGGGACCTTATTTCGGAAAAATTATGTATTGANGCTATATCCATGTTGGATAGAATATCCAATTTAAATAAAAAAATAACCTTAAGGGACAACTTGAATGCTTTTTTTCTTTTTTTTCTCTTAATGCATTGCATAAAGATCGGATCGGGAAAAATCGGTATCGGCAAATTGTCAAAATCAAATGATCGGAATCGGATCGGGAGCAAAAAAAGGTGATCTGGACATCCCTAGTTGTTCATATTGCCAAGTCCTATCTGCAACAACACTCTATATATAATGCTGACATTTCTACATTTTCACATTCTTATCAATCACCCAAGATGACCATCAGGCCTCTGAAGGGTGGATATCTAATGGACGGGTACAAACAGTGAGTCCAGGGTCAAACAAACAATCAATATGTCTTGAGTCTCTGGGAAGAGAGAAAAAAGTCGACGGCACATTTTTCGTCTTGACCTGCATGTTCCTCCCAGGAGGACGGAGGCCAAATGTGTCCGACAGAAGGCAAGAGAGGAGAAGCGATGGAGGAAAGGAAGAGTGAAGATAGAGGAAATAGGTCAAAGCCGGACCTAATCCACAGATTTGACTTCATCGTCAGAGACGAGGCAAACAGGAAATGAACCCTAATCTCAGAGCTTTGCTAAAAGGCCTGATAACGCGTTGCTGAAAGGAACAGAGGAGATGAAGGGAAACATCACAGGAAGATATTTCCAGAATTATCTGATGCACCGTTATCCTGAAGAACCCTAATTATCCAAATTAGACTCAGAGCTTAAGGAATCTTTCAAAAGTAGATTCAAACAACTAGAATTACGGCTTTGGGGTTGTATGCAGTCGCCAACCAGTCAGGTTTGTAGTCAACATCATGTGACCACCAAATTATAATCAGTTCATCCTTGAGTCCAGCTGGACGTTTGCACAATATTTGAAGAGATTCCCTTTAGGTCGTCCTTGAGTACTTCATAAGAATTTGACACATACCAACGCAACCAAAGAAAAGAAGAACCAAACCACCAACTGTGTGATTTCTAGAACACAGTAAAGCAATATCATGTACATTTTTTATTTGGACACCATCTTTGTTTTCTAAATTGCTTCCTGTATCAGTGGGTTGGCCTTAAATGACTAGATGGAATGTTATGCAAACACTGAGGACTTTCCAGCATTACACTCATTTAGAAACGTAGTCCTAATTTCCTGAGCACAGTGAACATGGCTGCCAGAGGTTAAATAAAGTCACCTGAAGGCCAAGTATAATGGAGTTACTCAACAATCCCACAGTACTTTAGACCACACATGTTCTCACGGGGATACTTAAGGAACAACAAACCAGACTTTTGGAAACCCAAACGCTGATTCCAATGAAATAAGTACAGTATATAAACATTAATAGTTCCAGGGAATTACATGATTAATGCTAATAATGAGGGTGTTAAAGCAGCGGTAGTTTATCATGGCTTTGTTTTTGGCGTGTTTGGTCCAACATGGGGGTCCAGCCATAACACAACACAGAGCCTCTCCATGAGGTCTCTGCTTCCTCTCCTTTTAACTCAGCCATCAACCTCATTTCCTCATCTATAATTCACCAAGACAGCCTCCTTCCCCCCAAAGACGCATGCACACTCCCTTAGGCAGACACACAAACACATGCATGTTTGATACAGCAAAACCATGGGGAGTTGAAGTCAAGGTAAAGAATATTCAAACTAGAAAAAGTTTCAAAACAGCTACTTTGCTATAAAAATGTCTTACTGCTCATCATCATCATTCCATCACTGACCCGCCTCACTGTGAGATGAATTACGTCTAGGAATCACTTCGCCGTTCCATCACAACTCTGTTCTCGACTCCTTTATTCAGCAGGGGCCTCGGTGCAATCTTACAAGTGTGATGAGACGGAGGGGAGGCTGTTTTCTACACCTCCACACTTTGTACTCAGCACAGAGGAGCCTGTGTGGCTTATGAGCCAAACTCCACCGGGAAATAGGCGCATTAATTAATGCGAAGGAAGAAAAGAGAGGAGATGAGTGTGATCACAGAGAAGGTGAGAAGGGCACGGTGAGCAGCAGAACTTTGTCTAAAGTTATTTTCAGGAAGTTATGGTGCATTCACATGCTTCATGGATTGTCCTATTTAGCGAGAGGCTAAGTTGTTCTTACGACTGGTTCTCCGGGAGCTTTATGTCGTGATGTAGAAACAACATGGAAGCAACAAGAAAGATATTTTGTAGTCTTGTGTTTACTGCGTGACTTTCAGAGATCTTGTTGTCACCATTTTCCCAATAGGGAACTATTTCTCCCTATTATTCCAACACCACACAAATGCAACACAATATGTTGATGTAAACAATAATTAATTTGTGTATCTGTCCTATGATAATGATAACTTAAAAATGTTTTGGATTCTGCCTTGGCCCATGCTATACACTTTAAATAAGTTTTATGAAAATCAGGAAAGACATTTAGACACCCAAAGCAGAAAGAATAACCTCCTGGGTGAAGGTAATAACAGACTCGTAAATGTACTGATAATTTAAGCCATTAGCTCTTACTTTTAAACGGTCACATAGAGCAACACAATTGTATGATTATATCGCTATTACTGCCTTAACTCTAATTAATTTGTGGGCAATCACACTTAAACCTGATGTCCAGGTTGCAAACCCGTAATAATATAAACCCTTAGGGGCTGAAATGATTCCTTTCTCATCTTGCCCTTGAAAAATCCCTACATCTTATTGGACAAAAAAAGAGAAGCAGGATGTTATATCAATCTGACAACAGTGGTGTTGACCCGGAACCACATATTACATGACAAGCATCACACTGTATATGCGGAAACCAAACACACTCCGGGCCCTTTACAGAATCTACAAGCTCAAACACACGCAAGCAACACTGTTTTTGCTGCGTTATGTAAACCAGGCAGGACCAGGTGCAGGTCTTTGTGCCCCCGAGGGAACAGCTGCACTTAAGAGTGAACACAGGTGGAATAACTGGTCTATTTTGTTAAACACGTAGGTTCTTCTTGACCTAAGAGCCTCACACACACATTCATCAATCAACATGAATGACAAGGCAGCAAAAAATGAGGCCTGCGGGCTGTGATTTTTACTTCTCTGGAACACTTTCACCCTCGAGAATGTGAAGTGCTAAACATGGCTCAAATCTAACACTGCAAGTGGTGAGGTATTGTACATCAGCCAATTCACCCACTGTAAACTTTTCAGTAATCCCCCATTTACCATTGCACCAGCGTCACGTATTCCTCCTCAGCAGCTTTCCAGCAGTCCGCCCCCGATATGACATGCTGTCCAATACATTTAGTTGCATCTGTCTGAATGGCTCCCCTCATCTTTGTCAGTGACATGCAGCTACACATCCATCACTTGTCAACAGACACTTAAGGGCATCCTGTCATTGCCATGGGAGTGTTTCTTTCTCCTACAGTTTGCCAGTCAAATAACCAACGTATTCATTATTTATGTCGGGGATCACATTTCTTGATTGTTCGAAAGCACTGCAGTACAAAATGCAAAAAGAAAATCAGAATACTTGCTTTTCCTTTAGTCACTACACTGCAGGGTAAATTGGGCAAACATCTTCCACTAATGCAGGCCATGAAAATTGATTGTAAGCACCAAAAAAGCAAGTAAGTGGACATAGAGTGGACCTAGATTTAATATTTCTGTACTAATATTTATCATAAATGGAAGCACATGCATATTATGTACATAACATATATTAGATTTGAAAATCCAAGTCTCATTATCCTTGCAGTGGCCAATCTCCAAAAGTATTGGTTCCTACATTTTCCAGATTAAACTACAATTCCGATCCCCATTGGTTTCCGTCTGGCAGTTGGAAAAGTGAAGGAGGGAAAGCCTTCGAAACAATGGCACTCTCTTTCCTACTTGGCATCTCTGAGACACCTACATTGAGCTCTGTTACATTTCAAATGCCTCGCTGACATACTGCGGTTGGAACCAGGGGCGATTCTGACCCCAAAACAATGCCTCTATCTCCCACTGGTTCTGAACTGTGAGCGCGGCAACAGTTGGTTCACCAACCGCAACAGTGTCCTCACGGGCAAACCATGACCTCACTCAGCGGGCATGCAAAAAAGAGGATGATCAGGGGGCATAGGGTTTCATTTGTGACCCCGAAAAAGGAGGACAGTGAGAGGACAGATTTGCCCCCTCGTCCTGCCCTCCCCATGCCATGGCGTGTCATCCAAAGTTAGTTCCCAGGAGAGGACAGCTCGCCTCAGAGCTGCCAACAGCAAGCCATGCCGGCAGACCCAGACATGATAGAAAGGGAAGGGGGGGCACGTCACTGTGGATAGGAGAGGCACCCTGCTGACTTCTGGCACATAGTGTTAGATAGAACAGGGATTAGACCAGAGTGTGCCATGCTACAATGTCCCCCTGAAAACAACGACACATTCCTACAACAAAAAAGGGAAAACGTGTGAGACAAGAGCCCTTTTCACATATACACTGAAAATGTAGGCCTTACCTAGAAGAGCTGTATATGAGAACGTGGAAAATTTCAAACCGGACATCAAACAGACTTTATCCTGCCAGAACACAAGCACAAAGTCTGAATATTCGCCGATTTATGGGGGTGAAGCCAGAAGAAAGAAACCTCTGGCAAGAAGTTCATACATTGATGGGAACAGATATTTCTAACCCTAACCCTAATTCCTGTTTGCAAAGCCAAATGCCATAATCATTGAGACTTATTCAAGGCACACGAAGAGACTTGAAAATGTACAAACCGGGTACACGGAGTAATCTGCGTCACATCTTGATTTTTCAATGCAGGTGCCACCCCTCCCTCTAAACCAGACAAGTATGTTTAGGAGCTGAGAACTCACATGACTATCTATTATTATGTAAAAGGATAAATCTGGACAATGTGTGGATCTAATTATCTGGATATTGTCCGTTGTTGATAGGAGAAAACAGCTGGTGAACGAGAGGAGAAACAGTGGGGACAGTCCAACTGGGAGCGAGATTAGATTTCAATCCAGATGAAAGCAGGATGATGCAGATATAGGAATACACACAGTGGGAGGGAAGAAGAAAAAACAACACGGAGTCAGATTTGGCATCTCATCACTACTTCCAACTTGTCACAGCTAGAAATGTGTTCAGCTCGGTGTCACTCCCACTGAGAATCCACCAACAATCTGTTGACTGGGACGTGGCATCACAGCATTCAAAAATACCACAATTGCTTTTATTTCGAATTGAAATAATGTATCTCTATCTTAAGAAAACACAGCAGCAGCACACTTTAAGTGAACTGTCCTGCCGGCTGAATAATCAGAGATGTCTAGACTGGGTACGTCACAAAGACTATGTGTCACCAACATACAGAAACAGACCCTGGCTCATCACAACATCACTCTTTTGTTTGAATATGTCAGTAGCAAATATCATGGATAATTAGAATCTATGCATACAATAGGAGGAGGATACGCAGGGAGGGGATTGAGTAAAGATCAAAGCCATGCTCGGGGGGGAGGACATTCACTAAAAAGGAACATTTTATTCTTATTTTCTGCTGGTATTTTATAAGCAGAAAAGACTGCACTGCACAGGAAAAATAGAGCATCTTACCTGGTGGGAAAGGGTAGCTTTCTGTCTGCAGAGTGCTCAAGAACGGGGGCAAGGTAGCAGATTCTGCAGAGAGGAGAACAAATAGATGAGAGACAGAAGACGGAGCGAAGATAAGAGGCAGCAGAGATGGCTGATGCTTTTTCGCCGGCAACTGCAGCTCACACACTCTCAAACACACACACTCTCAAACACACACACACACACACATGCAGCGAGCCAACCGGCATGCTGTCTCACGCAGGTCTCCCCCTCCCTGCCTTCACCAGTGCACACTCTGCAACCAAACCAGGGCTGTGTATAAGGGGGGATGGGCACATGAGACAAGTGTGTGTATATTTGTGTCTGTCACATTTATTCATGTTTGAAAGAGATATGAAGCTCATCCACTCCTGAGGGAATTATAAAGATACATCTCTATCCAAGAAATTCCGCCGAAGCATATTTCATTTTCCTCTCGGTGTGTATTCCACGTGTAACATTTCATGCAAAAAAACACGTCCACATTATGAATGTATGGAACCTCGAAACATGACAGCGAGCGCAGTGTATCTGCAAGTGTATAGAAGGAGGGGTGCAGGGCTTGCCCCCATACTGAATAATTGCTCTGTCCTGGTGCTCATTTGCAGGCATGGCCCACTGCAGCAGCAGCAGCAGCAGCACTGAAACAAAGGCGGAGAGGGGGGACGAGGGGGAAAAGAGGGGCCTGAGAGAGACTGCAGAGGCCAGACAAGCAGAGCTAAAGCATACAACTCAGTAGCACTGAGCGCTGACTGCTCAAAGCCTAATTCCTGGCCCATTACTCCAACCTCAAACCACATGAAATGAAATATATGTGTAGTCCAAGGGGCTCACAAAGGCCCATTTCTTTAGCTTTCCATCAGCTGGAGCACTAGAGATGTCTACGTTGTGATTAAATACAGAAATTGTGAGTAGATTATTAAGATTTTAAACAACTTTATTGGCCAAAAAAGCCTTCATTGGTGCATCGACATACACTTGTTCCAATCCTTTATGAAGGAAGTACATTAATCCACTGAAACAAACCGGCCTCACCAGACCAATGTCAAGAGACACTCCCTAACATGATCGCCAAACCTCACATAGACCACAGAGGCTGAATCATAAAGGATACATCTTCATTCAACTCCAAGACTTTCAAAATGACTGCTTCCAGCCCACATCACATCCTCTCTGAGTCCCATTATTAGCATGTCTTGTTCCATAGAGGGTAAAGAGAGCCATCAGTGTAAGACTGTAATCAACCTGTCAGCGTCGGGGACTGAATACATTTTTAAAAAAAAACAACATCCGATGATGTTGTTGGGAATTTGAGTAAAAGGAAAAAGAGACGTAGGATGAGAGATAAGAAAGATGGAGAATAAATGGAAGGTCGGATGGCACAGTTGGGAAATCAAAGCGTGGAGAGGGCGCAGACAGTCCAGTCATCACCAGCCGCCAACACTGATTACAGAGGAAGGGCTCTGCTAGCATGGCGGCTAACATCTAATCCGCTCAGCCTCTGCTAACGCCAATCTTCCAATACCGACTGTCAACAAACACATCTGACCGCAATGTCAACAGATTACACATGTTGTTGACCCTTTGTCCTTAGCACAGTCCTCTGGTTGATAATAACTTGCAAGGATGACAATTTAGCGCTCTTCGATCAAATGCATATGGCAGGATATATTCTCATGGGTGACAATGAAACCTTATGTCTAGTTCCAATTTTAAAGGTAGGTCAATCACATTTATGGAAGTGCTGGTTGATCATATATTGGGGCACAGCCAACTCAAAATGATCAGGATTATCTGAATGGATCATCGTAGGCTTGTGGGTAATCTGCCTGGACCCCTTCATCCAGATTTTGATCTGAGATTCCATAGCTGGTCAGAAAAGTCTGGAGCATTCCTGTTTGATGTTTCGTTTGAGAGATACAACCAAGTTTGTATTGACAAGATCACCAAATCGACCACAACTACTGTACAATAACGAGGCCAATAAAAAGCCAGTTGTATGAGTTTTTAATGCGTTCTGAAGGACGAAACATCATCTGCTACTTCTGACTTTTGAATTCCAGACTTGCCTTTGTATCATCATACCCAAAAAAGCTGTTTCGGACGCCTCTGAAAGCACGACTCAAGCTTCTTTAAGCCCAGACTGGGTTTCACTGAGCGGGCACTTTTATTGCAGGTGCTTGAGAAACGAACGGCTGTGGCTTTGGTGTTTCTGCGTCATCAAACAAGAGTGTCATTAAATATGTAATCTCAGCTCTGTTTTAGTGTGCCACCATAAAACTTGAACTGTTGCAGTTTGATGGGAGGGCAGAGAGCAGTTAATGTGAATGAAGATATTGATTAATGCAAACACTCCTTTGAGTGGGTCCCTAGGGAATTAAGTGGGCCCTCAATAAAATGTGTTTGTTTTTTGGACAACTTGTAGTGTTAAATCTCTGTTTGATGGTTGTAATAAAGGGTATGGTTCTGTATCTTGAAGTTATGCTTAACTTTCATGATAATCAAGAAACTTGACTAAGACAGTTGGAAAAAATTGTCGTTAGTAAATTGTATCTTAGACTTAGTGACATTATTGTTAAGTACTTTGGGACAAATAGGCATGATCATGGCATCACAGCCAATATGTTATAGATTTTTACAATTTAGAACATTGCTAGTATGGTCATTTGGATTATGATATTGATTACTTCCCCAGTTTTAGATAATGTTAACTTAATTAATCTGCGTTTTGGACTGTTTGTTAGAAAGTTGAGTTGAAGAAACCACATTTTGCAGAGAGAAATTGCAGCTTTCAAATTTGTTTTAACACGTTATAATCAAAGACTTAATCAGCACTCCATAAAGTATGTGTAAGTGACAGATTCAAATAATAACCTTCTTGCAATGGAGGCCAAGATCTTTCCATTCGTAGTGTGAGTAAAAACTCAAAAGATCCTACACTTCCCACAATGCAACTGAAAGTATCAACCATTAGACAACCTGGTGAAGTCTCAAGCCCAAATTCAAAACTAAAGCAACAGATGAAATACGTTTTACGCCAAGCAAACTGAACTTCATTGAGTTAAAAACAATAGAAATAGTACCGCACATATACACTCATAACATGCTTTTTCTCCTGACTCCTACACATCACCGTAAGCATTACAGTCCCATGTTAGTACTTTCACCCAGACATGCCTAGTAATCGCTCGCACTGGCAGACTCATGTTAATGAGGATCAGACCACTGCAGCATCAGCAGGATCACAAGAGCAATCTCTTTCCAGCATAAGGCTGATGTCTGCTCCTCTTTGCTCGAAATGATGACATCTGCTTGTTTTTCTTTTAGTTCCAACAAAGAGTGAACTAGATTTAAGATGGTGGAAAATCGAATTAACTAATCCTTGCTGATCTGTTTGTCTGTTTGAAGGCTCTTAGGTTGAGTCAGCCAGCATGAATATATACTATTCATATGATTTTATCAGAAAAGGTTAGTTATGATTATTAGATTTCCTTTTATATGAGATCAATTTGATTCACTTTTACCTTCATAGTTTCCCCCGAGCTTACAATTTACTCAATAACAAAAAGGTTTTCGAGCTGTCAAACTCTTTTACTACTGTTGTTGTTGGATCAAAAGCAGTTGGAGGACTGTGATGTCATTGGTGAGTTTATTCAGAGCAGCTCGACTAGATGAACATCTTTATCCCCTGAGAGCCCTCTGCATATAGACACAACAGCGTGACTCACACTAAAGTCCTACACCTCGGTCAAGCCAATGAACCTGCAGAGCATGTCTATCTGATGATGGTTGTAACCGTTCAGCTCAGTTTAGAAAAAGATTAACCGTTTGGAATAAAGGACAACCCTATATTTAACCCTCTCATGCCTTGCCTTTACAATCCATCATTAGAGACAGGGTGACAGAACTATATTATGTGCTCATAGTCACACTAGGAAATCCCACGAGATAAACTCAAGTCTCTTTATGTGTTGGGAAGAAGCAACAGTTTACTCTACGATACTGACAGAATCCCCCGACAACCCATCCGCCCGTCATAATTCAGAGTGTGAGGATTGTGAAGCACTTGAGCGCATACAAACCTGAGTGGTTTGTGAAAGTGCAGCCTTCCTTGTTTGCAAGAGCAAATACTAGGTTGTTCATTTGCCAAGAGTGCGTTACACCATTTCAATGACAAGCTTTCAATTCATAAAGTAACTGACACCAATAACACATGGGAAACTCTAAAACCCTTCTCCGGACCACAACTGGGATTGAATAGTGAGCGTGATGGATGGAAAGTCATCCTTCCTTCTCTACCACACAGCTAGATGACCCTCTCTAGGGTGTCATTACTCACATTCATATGCATGTATACAATGTGCACACACACACAGGTCATTTTTAGACTATCAGCGAGGGAGTGTGTGTTGCTACTCTGTCTCTGATATAAGCAGAACACAGGAAATTCCTTAAGTTTGAAATATGCCTAAAAGAGGCCTGTTCAAAACAGAGATTTGAGGATAAAAAATAGACAGGAAGTAGAGGAGACTGACGCCACGAGTGAGGGGGAAGAAGTGGCAAGAACACACTCTACTGTTTTTATAGACTTAAGTAAATGTGCGCCTGTCTCAGGGCGTGTGTATCGTGACGTGTAGACCAACTGCCTGCCGGGTTGTGTGTTTTTGTGTCAACGCTTCAGCTCGCGTGTGCCCGGTTTTATACTAACCACAGGGTGTAGCCGCGGGCTTTGAAGCCGTCTACACACCCTGGGCTGAACTCAAACACAGACTACTGTACGAGAACTCAATGGAAAAATCACACCGTGCTCACAGGGAACACAGAACTCTCTATTCCACTAGGAAAGCGTCTCTGGGTAGAAAAAAGCAGAAAAACAGCAGAGGAGGGTTCTGCGTAGGGCTGCAGCCAGCAAATATTTTAATTTCCTTATGAATATATCAGTCATTTAGTGGATAACATGTGAGAACATGTAGGATTAAGAAAACGTGCTGATTCTCAGGCAAGTAAAATAGCGTCCCTATTGACAATTTCTAACTAAATGTTTGACCTTAAATTCCACTACTAAGTCTACTTTAATTGCTAAACTGAACTCAAATTGGCATGCTCCAGCCCCTTTCAGCTCCTGCAGTATCCTACCCACCCCCCCTACAGTTTTGTTAAGCTCTGCAGAAGAACTCTAGCCCGGGGTGCTTATTTTCCTCATTTGGAAGCTGTCTTGCTCTCGGGTATGGATTGTATTATCC